GTCGGGTCGGTTTGCTGGCCAGATTGAGGGCGCAAAGCGACTATCGTGGCACAAACGGATCGCCCTACCTGTCGCCTCAAAATTTGTTTTCAGGCGCCGAGTCGGGCGATCGAGCCGACCCGACCCAACCCGACCCAACCCGACCCGATCCCATTTGCAGTTGGCACCTGGTATTACATTGTACATTTAACAACCCTACTTCATTATCACAACGTTCTATCTGACGTTTTTGGCTGTTTTTGAGTTGATACGCCCATGAAGTAACTTTTTTCAGTGTTTGTCTTTGTCAATTCACTACAGAGGCGCGTTCTTGTCATTCTGCAACGATTGAAAATTTTCAGTTGCGGGGCTCTTTAATTAAAGTAAAGAGGAATAACCTGTTTATCCGTATAGATATATCGATTCTGCTTGCTTTGTCCAAAACTTTAGAAGACAGGCAGCAAAACGCTTATTGTAACATAATATTCAACTTAATCTTTGGTCTGCTGAAAATCGGATTTTTGTGTCCGCCACGTCTTTAAAGAGATGAGAATGATTTCATTTATCAGACACAGAACTGCCTCTTCCATTTTTTCATCATTGTTTTCACCATGCAATGATTGTCTCCCCTATCCCAGAGTTCAACCGTCGCTACCTGGACAGTCCTGGTGGGTCCAGTTGCAGTCAGCTGTCTCCCGGAAGTCGTGACACGTCACTGCAGGATATGACGTCACTAACGCTACCAGTGCCCCAGCTCAGGCTGGCCGCGGTGCCGGCGGAGGTCACGGGGTCAGGGAGGAGAGGAAGCCTCACCCAGGACGTGGAGGTCACGCTGTAGTCATCTTGTCTCACGGACTTACGTCATTACAATATTTGGACGGCCATTGTAGGGGCTCCATTGTTCTCTTCAGAATCCAAAAGATTGTATCAAATAATCTTAGAGGTCTTGTTGACCAAGATTCTGTGAAAGTCTGGAAACTTCTTTAGCGTTAAGAGTTGATATCGTCAGCTGCAATGATCAGAGCTACGTTTTAGTTGCGAAATTTTGTTCTAAATCAGAGGTGATTGTGCTGTTGGCATGTGCATCAATCTTAAAAGTTATATTGGTCAAGAATCTTGTTAATAAAACAAATCTGAAAGCTGTTTTGTTATAGACACATCTGCCTCGAACATGTACTTCTCACTGGCAAAATTGAGAGCGCACAAGGCAGTGCGTGTGTGTGTATAACAGAATAAAAAAGGGGGATGGGGGAGGGGAGCTGGTTACAAACACTTTGGAATGCCATTCTTTACCCACCAGCCTGGGTCTGCCCTTGGTTCTATCTTATTTAGAGTATAAAAGTTCGCACAAAGACCTAGTATGAGCCAACGCAGTCTGGCGAATGGGCCTTTTCTGGTATTGCCAGTCTGGGCCACGTGGTTTTTGTGTGTGGGCGTTGGGAAAGGCCCACATGTATCCCCCACACACAGCACATTGCCATCATTGTCACACTGGATGCAGACGCACCTCGTCATGTCCTTTCCCACTAGTCCCCTCCCAAACTGTTCGGCTAGTGTACAGTACGTCGTGGGCAAGCCCTTCAAATGTTCTAAGCCCCAAAAAAACAAAATATTTAAAGAGAGACGGAAAAGTTTCGTTTTTCTGAAATGTAAAAAGAAAGTAAAACAAACGTTTTTATTATTTATCGTTTTTGTTTTGTTTGTTTTGCTTTTTTCCCCTTTTGTTTTTTATTTACTTTGAAATATTTTGACTTAAAATCCTGTCAAAATGTCTCTTGAGGACATGCAGGCAAGAATGCAGTCTAGTAAACAACAAATTAACCTTTTGGGCTTATAACATCTAATCGGCTCGCCCACAGATAAACTCCGAGACACACGCTGTGGTAGAACATCCGGGTATCCACCTATCAGGTTTTTTGTCCATGCCGTTACAGACTCAAGACTTTGTTCCTTCAGGTCTGAAGTATTACTAGGTACAGATTCATCGTAAAGCAACTCTTGACTTGTGTGTGCATCCTGCAGCTCTGTAATGGCTGGTTTAACTTTGCCGTGTCTGCTTCTGATATAGATTTTTGGCTTGACAATAATGGAGATGTAAAACGAGAATTCTTGTCATTTATTGTTTTCTGTGATAAGCGATGGTGTCAGGCACGAACGGGCATAGTTTATGCGAAATGAGAACGGTATATATTATTTATGATTTGTATATAGTTCGTTTATTATAATGCAAATCATATGTACATGAGGAGTTGCAATTTGCGTTAAAAAAAATAAAATATGAGGATACTTAGTCATCAAGTTTTATAGTTGTGTTTAAGTTACAGATATGGAAAGTGTTTTGGCGCACCACTTGGTCAGTTAGTGTCATTCTGGACCACGGATCAGATGACCCTGATTTGAATAAAGAACGGGGCACCGTGAACTTTGGTTGTTTCGGGGTGCTCTAAAAGCTCTGAACCCATCTGGCTCCGTCCTGTCAGAGCTGCCCGTTCAATGCAGAGTTGTGGTGTCGTAAATACACCCACATTGTTGAAAGGGGCGTTGTACTATAGGCCTACAACAGGCAATTCAGTACACATGTAATTAGGAAGTGTTTACTTTGTACAGATATTAGTTGTACTTTCTTCAGGAAGGTGTAATGAGGAAAAACATTGTGTCCAATAAATTTTGAAAAAATACACTCATAAATACATACATAAATACATAAATAAATA